GGAGGGGTGGGTGGAACCCCGCCGGCAGCGGCCGGCAGCGCTGCCCCGGCTTTCGTGTCACCCCTCTGGGGACGTGTGCGGCCCTGGGCGTGCTGGGCTTAACGCTCTGGGGTTTAGTGCGTTCGGATCAATCAGTCGTGTGAAAACGAAAGAAACCAAAACTCCACAAACTTCCCTGTTAGCTTCGGACGTTGTAAATCATGTCGGTAATAAAGTCACAATCTAGTTACAGTGTGCTTCCAATGAAGTACGTTGTGGTTTTTTCCCCCCACGTTTTTCTTTAGTTTCGGCAACAAAGGAAACTTTGGGGTGATGTTTCTTTAAAAACAAAAGTTGAATGTGAAGTCTTAAGATGACAGAGATGCTTTGCTTTTAGAAATATACTAGGGTTTGTAAGTGATGTGTGTGGTGGGGATGGGTTTACGCTGACTAAATGTAACGGGACAGGCTCTTTCCAATATCCTGCAGGAAACTTTTTCCACATGGTGTGTACAAGGCACTGTGTTGCTCTTACCTCTTAATCTCAGCTTATTTTTTTGTGTTAAAGGAAAACAAAATAACTTTGAAAGTCTAACCCAATCCACTTGTGTATCTTCATTTTTAGCTTTCAGCCAGAGGTCACCTTCTCACTGTATTTGTTCCTTGAACTTGATGCGTTTTGCCTGGGGCCTGTTGCCAGCATTGCAGTACCAACAGTAATCACTTGTTACAATTATTGAAGTGCAGTCCTTTAAAGTTACTATTTATTTCATAAGAGGTTTCAGTTTACTGCCAAAAACTTCAGTTTACTGTGTTTGAATTGAATTGTTAAGTTTTCCTGAAACACTAAGTTTACTGCCAAAAACTTCAATTTACTCTGAATTGAATTGTTAAGTTTTCCTGAAACACTATCTTAATTTTTTTCATTGACACTGTTTAAGTGAAATCCTGTTTTAATAAATGAAACTGCAGTATTAAAAAAATTTTTTTTCCTTGCTCTTAGTTGCTGTCTGTCACAGCTGTCATAAACTTCAGATAAAGAACCAAATGTCCTCTAGAGGGAGATCTTTATGCTTTTATGTGCTAAAATGTTAGTCACCTTGTTCCATTTAGATGTCTCAATCGCTCATCTTGGAAAGAATCTGTGATGTTGAATGTGTACATCTTGACAGGAACCTGTCTTCTGGATCTGTGCTTGGAAATTTCATTACAAAATATAGACCATAGCCTGTAATGTAACACTTCTGTAAGTTAAATGAAACATGCTTGTTTTAATTAAAATAGATCTAATTCTGAAGTTAAATGAGTGGTCATTTCAAGTTCCTGTGTACTGCTCCTGTAGTAGTATTTGTAGGACCAACATTTGTGGCATCAGTGCTGCAAAAGCTTATGTAGATACCAACTTTCATACAGCATTTTCATTTTAATCAGGATGCTTTTAAGGTCAGTTTCTTCACTGACATAGACCAAGAATTTCAGCAGCTGATCTGAAAGTGTTGTGGGTTAAATCACATTAGCATGATGAATGCTATCAGCTGACCAAGGAAACAAATAAATAAAATGTCCCGTTTAATCTTAGCAATTGAAGAATAGCAATGCTTTTTTGACTAAGAACAACAGAGGTTTATTTTTGCAGAAACATCAATTGTTTGAATGTAGTTAACTCTATACTGCACATGCTCTGTCCAAATTTTTGGAAAAAGTTTGCTGGGATTGTTATGGTGGTGAGTTATGCAGCGTGTTACATATGCACTCTCAGCATGAAATTTCTTTCTCACAGACACTTGAAAAATTTTATTCCACAGTAAACAAGGGATCTGTGCTCTTATTTTTCTGTAAGTAGTAAATACAAATAGTGAATTCAGTGTAGCTTCATAAGCCTGTTCTATAAAACTAAAGGCTGTGTGGGACTTGCTCTGTGGATATAGTTTAAAAATTTCCTTATACTGCAAGACTACTGAATGGGTCAAAAATGTATTTACTTTTTTAGTTGCCAGTTGAACCCCTTCATACTTCTTCAAGTCATCTGTATTGTTAAGAAATAGATATTGTTAGATTGACTCCAGAATAATTGTAGCATTTATATTCTGGTAAATTTACAAACCAAACTGCCTAATTAATTGCCTTCTTTTGTGTGTGTGTTGTGTGTGTGGCAAAGTGCTACTGTGAGTAAGATTAAAGTGATTTGCAGTATTTGTGTTGCAAGTTTGTCTTTGTTTTCATGCTTATTTTCATTGTTTTGTGGTATGCAAATGCATCTCTGCAGTGCATTGAAAATGTATGCAAAGTGCTTGGAGGCAAATGGTGTTGCATAACTGAATGTACAGATGTGTTATAATAGAGGAATAAATTCTATTAGTAAACAGGAATAAAAGTTATGTTTTTTTTTCTTTTTTAAAGAAAAGCTTATTTATATCCTTAAGTTACTCACATTGTAGACTTTGTAATAAACTGTGCTCTGAATAATCAATTCTTTATTGTAGATCATCATTTTGGAGGATTCCAGCACTGAGATTTCAGCAGTTTGCTGTGTCTAGCTATAATGAGTTCATCACTGGTTGCTTATGATGATTCAGACTCTGAGGCAGAAACTGAAAAGACTGAAGTCCTCAGTACTTCTAGCAGACAAACAAGCCTTCCAAGTTCTTCTGCGGAGCGTGTTCACTACTTTGGACCTGGTAGTTTGGGTACAAAATCTACATATGAAATGCAGCCTACTGAGAACACTGACAGTTCTGGCACGAGCACTGTTTGTGAAGATCCCCCTGAGTATTATGCACAGAATAATAACGCTGACTTGACATCTCTTTATTGTAGGAGAGCATACTCTGGCCATACTGCAGTATGTATGTCCTACAAAAACTATGAACAGACATCAAGCTCTTCAACAAACTCTGGAAATGGCATTTCCCAGAAAAGAATACATAGAGACAGTACTACTGCCATAGCAGGAATTAGACCATATATCCCTAAAAGACTGCGTCAAGAAAATTCCAGTATGCTTGAAAAAAAGGCATCTGATCGGAGTGATAGCTCAGATTGTGATGTTAAGCTAGGCATGTCAGGAGAGCAGACTTTGAGAAAGATCTCTGAATTAATTAAGCCATATTTGGGATCCAAATATAAATTAACTGAAGTCCCCAAAAGCTTAGTATTTTACATGTCTAAACACAGCGGCCCTGTTAATGAAATCCAGTGGTGTCCTGTCCGAGAACAAAGTCACATGCTTCTCTCGGCTTCTATGGATAAAACAATCAAGGTAATGTAAAACAAAATGCTTTGTGAACCAGTCATCAAACTTAAAAATACTGTATTGAATAATGATCTTCTGGAAAAACATCCTTGCTTATATGTATTTAACAGTTCCAAAGTATTCAGAATTTGAGGAGATACTTTGCAGTACAAGACCCTATTGTGAACTTGCAGCCTAATCCTTCACTGTACCTACAGTCAGTTCCGTTATTTTGGAATGTGGGGTTTTTTTGGTATTATACATGTCAGTGTTTTTGATCTGAAGATGTTAGATTTCTACTAGGTAATTTCTCATAATCTGTATTAATGATTTCATAATTTCCTACTTTTTAATGTCACATAAGCACTATGATCTGTATACAGATTCTGCCTTAAGTCATTAAACATCTGACTGCCAACACTGGAACAATATTTTGAGGAACTTTACTATTCTGACAGGCGTTAGTGACTACTGCTGGAGGGGGTATGTCAGGTCGGATGGACATTAATCTGAACTAGTGTGGCAGGTCTTGCGTCCCAGAAAGGTGTCCTGTCGTGATCTAAAAAGTCTTCCCACTTTAAGTTTGTTTCAAGAGTTAATTGCTTAATACTTAAAGTGTATTTTCTTTCTAGCTGTAGTGAATTTGGCTTCAGTTCTTTGTTTGTTAATTTAGTCAGTCCAATGAGTCTTACTTTTATTTTAACAATGGGTAATAAAAATATTTTATGTGTCTGTTTTCCCATATACAGGGCTAATGCACCTCTGGGTTAAAATAATAATAGTCTTCTGAAGTGGGTTTACAGAGGAACATAGTTCTGATAAGAGCATCCAGAAAGTGTCCTTCTTCATGGAAGGCATGCTTTAGTCAGCCTAACCTATCCCACCATCAAAGTCTGAATTCTTTGAACTGTGGGTAATTCCTCCTTCACCTTCTTTCCAAAGCTTTTTTTTACTTCTTTGTCTTAAAGATTAACTGGAGGAAAAATTACTTTTTGTTTGCAAGTGTTCTTTAATATATTGAATAAGTTAAATCTTGGCTGCTACTTGAAGAACAGACTTAAGAGGAAAAGACCAAGTTATACAAAAAATGCTGATGGATTTTTTTGGTAAACAGCAGTTTAAATTAGGATTGTACGAAACCATATGCACCTCTGATTTCAGTATTTCTGAATTTGACTTTTTTTTGTCTTAAACTGTCACACCATATGCTTAATGTTTGTTTACTGTCCCGGAGCCTCATTTTACCGATGAGTGAAATTATGGTTATGATTATTAAAATCAAAGTTGTTATTGCAATGTAAAATGATTAAAAAATAGAAATAATAGCCTGTCTCTTTTGTCTTCTAAGCAGAAAGAAGAAGCAGTCTTTAACAGTAAAGCTGTTTTTTGAAGAAATCTAATTGCTTTAAGTGCCCCAAACCATTCACATTCTATGTAAATAGAGTATGTTAATATTGGCAACACTTCAGAGGATGCAAGTCTGAAACATTACATAAAGTAATAATGTAGCTGTTACAAATTATATTGAAACACACAATTCCGTATTTTGGAAGGCAGCCTGTAGAGAAATACCTATGAATGCTTCTTGCAGTTATTTCTTAATGAAGTCGAAGCCTGCAATGGTGTGAGCAGCAGCATCTGTAAAGTTTGCACCTTTCCACAAGTACCTCTCAGGCCAGTAGAGGGCACGGTTAGATTAAGTATTGACTTGACGTTGTGAAACTGATTTCACTAACTTTTAAGGGTCACGAACCCATAAATCTCTCTAATGACTATGACCGGAGGATTTTTGTCTGTCTGCCATTGTCTGAAGTTCTCTTCTGATGTAAGCATAAAACAACTGATTGAAAATGCAGCTATAGATGTACTATTTTTTTTCCGATCCTGTACCTTCCCACAGCTTGCATTTTTTGTTGTTTTCTTCCAAAAACACCTGGTTGGAATTGCTAGTTTAAATCCAGGCAGTGTTAGTGTGCCCTCTTTC